TGTTGTATTCACCACTGGTAGTCCAGGCTGATGAGACACAATCAAGGAGCGACCGCGGGCGTCTACGTCATCGTTTCCAGAGGTCTCCGTTTCAGTCCGTCCAGATGACAACACAACCAAAACTAAAACCGGTCCTGCAGCGTTTCTGAAAGTCCCTGTTTTTACGGTCTGAAAACTCCAGAGTCATGTGGACGCCAGGAGAAGGGAGAAAATGTAGCAGAAGAGATTTGTTTTAAAACTAAAAACAGTAGTGTAGACATAACCTCTGACTGTGTGACATCACTGCTTTAACACCCCCCCCCCNCTTTTATCCAGAGAGACATCACTGAATCTTCAGTGCAATAGGAGACCTTGGTGTAAGTTCTAAGTACTACATCTGTGTAATTAGTGAAGGAGATCAGGTGAAGAAGAGCCGTGAAAGGTCACAATAAGAGCTAGTTAGACATGTCAGGGTGTAGGAGGTGTTAGGAGAGGAGGTGCTCTCTGAAACTAGTTCCTATAAGAATCAAGGTTCATTCCAACCGTCATCCTGTGTTCCTCAGATCATGTAGACACACCGGCAGCCGTGTTGCTGAGGTCAGGGGCCGGTTCCCCAAAGACAGACTTTGACTGTGTCTTAGATATAACAAACAGTCAGACTTCAGATAGACATCTGTTCTGGACCATCTGAAGATGGACTGTGGTACAATGAATTCTGGGTAAATTAAGACTTTTTTCAATGCGCATCCAACCGCTCAGCTCCGTTTACTCCAGCAGAGCATGTTTGTCTTCTGGAAGAATTCAATAGTTACAAGGACGTTTTACTTGAAACAATAGTGAAGCAATAAAAAGAAAAATCACTTTGGTCTCTAAAAACTCTTCCCCTTCTCTCTGCTCAGATTATGAGCCATGTTTTCCTGTTTCTTGTTGTCATTTGCAAAAAAAATCTGTTTTCACTTTGTCATTATGGGGATTTGAGTGTAGACTAATGAGGCGAAATGAAGTGAACTGATTTTAGCATAAGATGAAGGGGCCTGAAGGCTTTTCTCCAGAGGGTCTGTGCTGATGTGAACCCGGTGCTGACGCCTCTCACCTGTCACCTGTTCTCCTCACAGGGTGGAACCGGCTTCGCTGCCTCCGGGGTGGACCTCAGGGCGAAAGAGGCTCGTCCAGTGATGCAGGTGTGAACGGAGGAGGATCTGACTGCAGTGTCGTCACAGCGATCTTTGTACTTCCTCATTATAAACAGCTGGTATATTTTTGTAACTCCTCCCTCCACACTATGATGTTGCTGTGTACTTTCCCTGTTCCCGTTCCTGACTGTTTTTTTTTTTTTTTTTTTAAATTCAACCAGAGGTTAATAAATGAGTTATGTTGATACAGCTCCCTCCTCAATGACATTTGTAAACAGCTGATCTTGTCTTCACTGCCTCTGTCCATGTAAGACAGAGCCGTTCAGCCTCAGTCTGAGCTGCTGTCAGTCACAGATCTTCATCTTAAAGGGCCAGAGTGATGATCTTCATCATCATATGTTTCCATTAGTTTAGAATATATCTACATGGGGAGCAGGTCCTCCTCCACAAACCTGCCATGTTGCTACAGGAGCCCAGAACAGACAAACCAAACAGTAGGTGTGTTTCCATTAACCGGCTTCATGAGTAATTTGAAATCTGGAACTTAAAAACCAGTGATTGAAACGTGTATTTCAAAGAAACTCCAGTGTTGCAAAACAAATTTATACGCTCGCATTTAGGTGGTTTTTCAGACTATTGAAAAAAACAATATTTCACACATTGAAATAGAAACACTTTTTTTCACATTCAAGCCATGTGCTGGACATCTGTTGTCACGTTTAATTAGAATGATATGAGAGGAGAAAACAGCTTCATTCACTTAACATCACTCAGTGGAAACACAGAACATTCATCATTGTTTTGTCGACTTTTCTAAAATAAAAATTAAAAAATGCCTCTGTGTTCTGCAAAAGTGGGACTCATAGAGTCATCGCTTCTACAAACTGTATGAGACGTTAAATAACATTAAAGTTCATGGAGAGGAACAGCTGTCCAGATGTTAAATCCTCATGATGACAATCTGACCTGATCTGATTTACCTGATGTCAGTTTAAACAGTTTAACTGTTGTATGTGATGGTCAGAGATAGACACTGGTTTCATATACAACACACACACACACTGCAGCTGATATAGCTGCAGTGTGTGTGTGTGTGTGTTGTATATGTGTTGTGTGTATACAGCAGGTTTCAGGTAGTTTCCATTAAACACACAGACTCAGGTCTGGTTGGTTTTTTATTGTGTGCGTCTTCAGATTAAGTCCAGTGTCAGACAAACTAGTTGCTGCGTCTGTAGCTTGAAGTCCCCTCAGCAGCTTTGCAGCGCCTCTTTGAGTCTGGGCTGCTGTTGTTGGCTACTTCAGATCACATTCACTCTAACCCGGACAAAGACTCCTCTGGTGCAGCAGTAGATTGTTCACAGTTCATCATGGCCGTCCACCCTCATGCTTCCATAGTCAGTGATGGTGCTGATCTTGATGAAGTCCATCTTGTCCAGCATCTCAGACAGAGTGAGACGACCGTCCTGACGAGCAGAGGACAGAGGACAGAGGACGGGACAGGACGGGACGGGGGAGGGTAGAAATGTGGAAATAAATACAGTTTTATTCTACATGTCATTAAAAAAAAGATGAGAGGCCAAAGGTAAGTGATTATGTCGGAGCAGCAGATAACTACAGATGAGGAGTATGAATGATGTTTCTGACAGATCATAGAGAGGGGTGTATTATTCTCAGCCTGATATAAACACGACGTGAGTGATCTCCAAAACAAATCAGATGAATAAGATAATTTAACGAATCATCAGATACCAACGTCCAAAACATCCGAGACTCACATCAGACAACGAGCAGCAACACTCAGATAGACTGCGACGTTCAGACCTTGATTGACTGGTATTAAGAAGAAAACATTCCCCACACCATCACACCACCAGCAGCAGCCTGGACTGTTGACACAAAGCAGGTTGGCTCCATGGATCCAGACTCTGACTCTACCATCTGCTGCCTCAGCACAAATCCAGATCCGTCAGACCAGGTCTTCACCTGTCCAGTGTTGGTGAGTCTGTGTCCACTGCAGCCTCAGGTTTCTGGTCTTGGTGACAGGAAGTGGGACCTGACGTGGTCTTCTGCTGTTGTAGGTTTGACATGTTCTTCACTCTGAAGCTTCTCTGCTCAGCACAGTTGTACAGAGTGGTTATCTGAGTGACCGTAGCCTTTCTGTCAGCTCCAACCAGTCTGTCCATTCTCCTCTGACCTCTGACCTCTGACCTCTCTCATCAACACAGAGCTGCTGCTCACTGGATGCTTTTGTTGTTGCTCCGTTCTGAGGAAAAACTCTAGAGACTGTTGTGAGTGAAAATCCAGGAGATCAGACCTGATGTGAACATCACCTGAAGCTCCTCACCTGGATGTACTGCTGCAACATGATTGGCTGAGTAAGCAGGTGTACAGGTGTTCCTAATATAGTGCTCAGTGAGTGTGTTTTGTACAACAGTACTTCTGACAACTCAGCCCAACATTTTTCTGTAGGTCACTTTACGGTAAACTGATGAAACACGTTTACACAAGTTCAAACATCAACAAGCAAGTTTTAAAAAAAAAAAAGATGGCTGAAAACAGAGGCAACACATAATAAATCCTAGGATTAAGAATCTAGCAAAACT